CTTCAATTTTACTATTTAACGATTAATTGGATGTCAATACTGACTTGGTAAACGGATTCCATCTGTGAGATCCACTAAATTGCTGACTTGGTAAATGGATTCCATCTGTGAGATCCACTAAATTGCTGATGTGTCAAAAAATTGACAGGTGGCTGCTCTAAGTTGGAGCTGATTGGGACAACAAGCATAAATATCAACACTGAAAAGGGTGGTGTCGACACCCAACTCGTGTCGGAGGATCCTTTTACTGATCTTAACAAAAAAAAAAAATATATAATTAAAGAAAAATCATAAAACTGATAATGAATATATAGATTAGTTAAACACAATAAGGTACATTATATAGATTTATTAAAATTAATTTATCATTTGAATATATTATATAAAAATACTTTAAATAAAAAATATATTCAATACATTATACTAAATTTTTAACCGCTCCATTAGTAAAAATAAAAATTTCAAGAAGTCATCGTGCCTTCATTTATGTTTCAAAATTTTAATTTTTTTATGTAAAGCATTATGTTGCCTACGAAGAAAATTGTTCATGTAGAGAGTTTGATGATTCACTTTGAAGATTATGATGTTTTTTTTTTTTTTGTCTCTTTTGTTTAGGCTTTTCAAAATCCTTACATGACAAAAAATACAAAATTACTTGAATATGATATTATATATTTACATGCTTTTAAATATTGTAATAATATCAATAAAAAAAAAACTCACCTTTTTCCCATTCTTTTTTGCATTTTAACCCAACACTAACCACATATGGCATGTTCTCCCACCACCCAAACAGCAGTAAATAAAATTCTTACCCGCACTTATAAATTACTAAATATAATAACTTTTTTAAAATTATGCCTACCACTATAAGATTTTATGTTAATTTGGGAAAAAATTATTATAATGCATAACCAAATATTCTAGAAATAGATAGAGATTTAATCTGTGATTAACACACTATAAACCATGGATAAAAATTGTGCCTCCAGTAATGGATAAAAAATCTAATTAAAATTGTGATTCAAGTTTATGGTAGGGTGTAATAACAGACAAAAAGTAGAGGAATCTTGAGATGGATTACAAGGGTTAAGTACTTATTGTACTCAAACAGATAATATTATTAATATTTACAAAAAAAGAAATAAAAATAATAAATGATTTTACCTCAACATTATGAAAATAACAAACAAAAAATCTTCAATGACAAGTTACTCTTTAAAGTTGTGTAATTCTCTTAATTGACAATGAAAAATAGAGTAAAAGTTTGAATTTTTTTATAATTTTTTAATATTTAAATTGGTATAAAAATATTATTATTTTAACTGTCAGCAAACTATTTTAGAAGAATTTTGTACACTACTTCAATCTTTTTAGGATTTGTTTACTAATTTATTTTACCTTAATTTTAATTAGTTTTTCCTAAAAGTCACAAATAATTCCTGACACAGGTTTGGTGTCGATACCACATGTTTTGGTGTCCACACTATTAATTAAGAATTTTAATGTGAATCTTTATTGTCCAAATCAGCTCCAAGAAAGGGTAATCACCTATCAATTTTTTTACACATCAGCAATTTAGTGGGCCCCATAGATGGAATCCGTTTGCCAAGTCAACATTGACATCCAGTTAATCTTTGAATAGTAAAATTGAAAAGGTAATATCCTTATTTAGAAATTTTTTAAAAGTAATAACCTTAATTAGTTCAATAAAAAAATGATACCCTTAATTAGAAAAATTTTAAAAAGTAATGTCCTTATATGTGTAAAATCTCATTATAGATGTTAGATCAACTTTAAATTTGACATATGCATGATCTATATGAATGCAATATTAAATCTAATAATTAAATTTTAAAAGTATTTATTAGAAAATAGTGTTTTTAAAGTTGAAACTCTATTTTTTTAGAGTAAAACATGATATGCACTTTTATGAGTATCATGACTATATATACTTTTATGCATTATATATAAAGATTAATGTGTATCAGTCTTGACTTTAAAAAATATTAGAGTCTCAACCTATGTTTGTAAATAGAAATTTCAATTCAAAATTTCAAAATTCACCCTATTAAATATTGACATCTATATTTGAAAACAAATTACATATTCTAATATAATTAGTTTTCAAATTTAAATATCAAAATTTAATAAGATAGATTTTTAAATTTTGAATTGAATTTTAATTAAATAAAATGATGTAATTTAATATTAGAACTCCAATTTATTTTGGAAATTGAAAGTAATATACACATTTTTCTTATATATATATTTATTTATATATAGCTTACAAATAAATCTGTTTGACCATGTGTATACCTAAAGAGATTAGGTTTCATTCACCTCTTTTCTCTTTAATTATACCCGAAGCTGTTAATGATTTATTTCTTAATTTCTTGTATTTTTATCTACTTGTTTTTGTATTTGTATGTTTCTACCATAAATCCTTAACCTATGGAGATAAATCCTTTTTTAACTCTTGATCTTATGAATGAGAGACGATCTTATATAATAATAATATAGAAAAGTACTTAATTAGTTAAAAAAAAAAAAGTAGAATGAGTTCAATGCCCTTAAACAATGTTAAGAGTTCAAGTTTTGTTAATGAAAAAGCATGGATTATAAGAACTTTCTTCCTTGTAGCTTTGAACACAACTGGATTCTAAATTAGTTAATATTTAATGTGACTTTTGAATATTGAGGGATTAGTAAAAAAAATAATAATAGAAAAAGGTGTTTATTAGTTGAATTTTTAAAAAATTAAAAGAAAAAAATACCAAAAAACTATGAAATTTTAATACTCTCATTAAAAAAATATTAAAATAACTTATTTTTAAATTAAGAATGAGTTTATTTTAATTTTTGCCATCATATTTTAATAAAACAACATAATTCGTAAGTGTTTTTCCCTTTTTTTTTTCTTTAAATCAGCTTAACAAACACTAGATTCACAATAATATTTGAAAACAGGGGAATTTATAATTGGGGCTTGCATGCGGTTGAGTGTGGTACTTTAATTTTATTTTTTTGATAGAGTATATGAGCAACAATTAAAAAATTTAATTTATTTAAATGAATTAAGTTAATGTAAGAATTTTTTAAAAAATGTTTAGAGAGGATTTAATTTTAAAATATATAAAAATTGGTCCAAAAACCTCTAACAGTTAAAACAAAAAAAATATATAATTATATATATATAAATGGATTTTTCTAACCTATGCCTTAAGATATCTTTTTGCAATAAATTTGTATAGAAAAATATAAAAGTAAGACCCAATATCACTTAGATAAATTTAATTAGATAATTAATAAATATTATTTTTTAGTTTTTCAAGGTTTTTAAGTTACAGGTTCAAAAAACCCTACATATATATATATACATACATACATGAATTTAACAATTAGTCTTTAAGTAAAAATTCACATTTATATTAAATCATATTTTTAAGCTACTGCTGGCCTGATTTTTAAACAACTTGTATTAGAGTCATGCTGTGGTGGCCAAAAAAAACCACCGCGAAAAAAAGAAAAAAGCAAAAAAGGTCATGGGTATTGACTTCGCGCCTAACGAGTGTAGGGGAAAGCCTATGCTCTTGCAGCTAGGCCCTTCGATGGGTGCATCAATATGGTTAGAAGCTAAGGCTAACTAAAAAGATATGATGCCGATTGCAAGCTGATGTTAGATCTATGGACCTGAGCTTGGGTTTGGAGGCATAACCGAGGCCCTCAAACCGAAAACCAAAATACTGAACCTAATTTCCTAAGTCCCTCGTTGCTTTACGTATTCGGTTAGAATGGTGAATACCAAACCTTCTAGGTATACCGGTAGTTGGGTCCGTCAGTTACTAACCCGGAATAATACCCAATCCGAACTCCATATTTGATTTGAGAGATCAAAGAGAAATGGAGAGAAGCAAAGACAATATCTTTTTATTTATCTTTGTTTCCATCCTCTCCACTCACCTTCTCTCGTCTAATTAGGCTAAAATTATATAGAATATTAAAAGAAAGCTCCCCTCCCCCTCTCTAATTTTTGTTATCCAAATGGTAAAATTTATCTCCTTCAAGTCTTCTATATCAGCTACACTATATTATAAATTGATAAATTCCTAACTCAACTGCCAGATTTCATTTTTTTCAAGTATACGTCAATTAGACCATTAAATAATCTTATTGATTTACTTTTTTTTTTTTTAAATATAAACTATATCTTTATAAGAAATTACCTAATCCAACCTTCTCCGATATATTGCCAACAATTCAGCCCAATTAGTCATACACTTTGAATATCATTATATCCAACTATATATATCTTCAAAGTTGGATTATGCAAATGGCCTCTTCAGAAGAAACCAAAAGCCAAATCCATTCCAGTAACACTGAGGAAGATCACGAGAAACAAGCTTCCTCATACGCAATGCTGCTTGTCAATTCAGTCACTCTGCCCATGACTCTGCATGCTGCACTTCAGCTGGACACTTTCCATATCATAGCCAAAGCCGGAGCTGATGCCAAGCTGCCCACACAAGAAATAGCAACCTAGTTGGGTACCCAAAACCCCAATGCGCCCATGATGCCGGACAGCATCCTTAGGCTCCTAGCCACCTACAGTGTGCTCACTTGCTCTGTTGCTGTTAATGATCATCATGGTGATCCTCTGATACTGTACGGTTTAGCATCTGTGTGAAGTACTTTATCCGGAATGAAGATGGCATTTCATTGGGACCCTTGATGACTTTGCTTCAGGACAAGATCTTCTTGGATAGTTGGTTCGTGCTTTCTGCTCTTTATCAACTGTCAATCAATTCTCCCTGGTTTTATCAAATAGTTTTTTCTTTTCCTTTTCTAATTTATTGATTTTCATCATTGTTACTAATTAGGTCTCAATTGAAGGATGCAATTGTTGAGGGAGAACTTCCATTTGACAGGGTCTATGGAACTCATGACTTTGGATACCCTGCCAAAGACTCCAGATTCAATCACGTTTTTAACAAAGCAATGATCAGTCATAGCACCATTGTTATCAAGGAAATCCTTGAGTCCTACAAGGGATTTGAGCACCTCACCCGTTTGGTCGATGTTGGTGGTGGTTTAGGAGTCACCCTCAGCTTCATCACTTCCAAATACCCTTCCATAAAGGGTATTAATTTCGACTTGCCTCATGTTGTTCAACACGCCCCTCCTTACCCAGGTATGCAACATTACAAGCTTAACATGTCAAGCTTCTCAATTTTCATGCCTACTGTACTCAGTTTAATCATAAGTTGCAGGGGTTGAACATGTGGGAGGAGATATGTTCCATAGTGTTCCTAAGGGAGATGCCATATTTATGAAGGTGGGTTTAATGATATTGCTTGAAAAACTACATATCCATGCATTATTTTAATGGAAACCTATCATTTTGGAAGATGTAATTTGAAAATTAATTTGCAGTGGATACTACATGACTAGAGTGATGATTACTGTGTTAAATTGTTGAAGAATTGTTATGATGCTATACCTGACCATGGAAAAGTAATCGTTGTGGACACAATTGCTCCAGTTTTGCCCGATTCAGTGGCATCAAAAATGAATGTTTGGTATTTAACTCCTGGCTTATGGAGTTTTTTAAGTAACACCTAATACTCACTAAAAGTTGTAATCCTATAGAGTGTGCAAGGTGTTTGATCTTTTGCCTGAGTGAATTTCTAGTGAAAACATTTTATTTGCCATTCGGCACCGAATGTGGTATTTGACAATTATTTCTGCTATTAACAGGACACAATAATATGAATGCTCTGTTTAGGCAGCAAAGCAGAGCGCCATTCATTATTTATTTATTTCCTTTACTTGTCAGTTGTCACCCATTACCCATATGCCTCGATAGGTCCAGTCCCCTGCGCATTAACTTCCCCTTATCTCTGCACTATACCGCTCTTTTGAAACCTTCCATCCATGGCACCGGCATTAATGGTAGTTGTTTGGGAATGGTTGTTTGGTGAAAATAAAAAACAACCCAATAACTATAGAGCAAAAGGGTAGATGGGACTGCTCTACTCTTCTGTTTTCTTCTTTTGTGTTGTTTTCCAATTTCAGATCAGGCTTTTCACGTGGGGACTATGGAGATAGAGGTGACTACTAGTAGTAGTAATCAGAAACACGGCGGTGCTGCTGGCAGCGGTGGCAGCAGCACGTATCATGAGAAGGCAGTGTATGGCGTTAGAGGGAAGGGTATATACTTGGTATGGGAGGATCTGAATGTTGTGCTGCCAAATTTTGGGAATAAACCCACCAAAAGGTTGCTTCAAGGGCTTAATGGGTTTGTTGAACCTGGTAGGATCATGGCCATCATGGGTCCATCTGGCTCTGGAAAATCCACACTTCTTGACTCTCTTGCAGGTATGCTTTACTCTGTCTCTCCCCTGTTTTTTTGTTTATAAATTTTGAATAACAATAATGTAAGTTCACTCTTAATTAAAGAACAAAGATGTTATGAGTTGTCTTGATTTCCCTTTCATAAACTACCACTCACTAGTTTTGTGGATTAGGGATTATGCCTACTGCCCGAGGAGGATAACTAATTGTTGTACTTAATAGCTTTCTTTTTTGGTAGGAAAGAAAAAATGGTAAGGAAAATTTTCCTTATATGTTCTTCGTTAGTCAGGAAATAAGGGGTGGATGGGGGTGTTCACGTTACTGTTGGCTTTCATTAATGGGTAAATGAAAGGGCCAAAATGGTTCCTACTGTAGTATAATTTATCTAGTGTTGGTTGTTAATTTGTGGACCATCTTCTTAGACATTGAGAGGTGGCAAGTGTACATTATTGACTGCATGCATTAGATTGCACCCTATCTTTTTCCATTCTCATGCATAAGATAATTAGTCAGGAATTTCTTTACGAATTTTTATATTTTTAGTGCAGATGATACTTTTTTTTATTATTAAATTGGAGTGAGTTTAGTATAATGCACAAAAACTAACTCATGATGCCATTGTAAATATATATATACACGTACTTCCTTGAGGAAAAAAAATACAAATTTAGTGAGTTTGAAAATGACAGCTAACAGCAACTTTCAACAATCAACAAGGGACCCCTTCCATAAAACCAATCCTAATGGTTTCTTAAGTATGAAAAACCCCAAATATGGTAAGATTCCAATGGCTTACTGGTCCTTCCTCTTGGTAGGAATCCTAACTTCCGGATTGCTAATAGCTAATCACGAACCTTGTTGTGTTGAATATGTAGTTATATCTATTGAGATTAATGTATTTATGCCTTAAAAAGACTCACTTCATCTGACTACAGGTAGACTCTCTAGAAATGTGGTCATGACCGGAAATATTCTTTTGAATGGGAAGAAGAGAAGACTAGATTATGGTGTTGTTGTAAGTTTTTCTCTTTGCCCTATAATTAGTAGAGATTGCAGTTTTTCACCTTGGATTGGCATTTTTTTTTAGTCTGGACTAACAGTGATATTTTTGTAATTGGTAATTTTGAATTTGATTAATTTGGAAGAAAAAAGAAATTCTCTATTCAAAATGAAGATGAAAAATGACACCAATACCAGTGCTTAGTTACTTCTTCTGTTTCTCTGTCCTTGAAAACCCCAGGCTTATGTGACACAAGAGGATGTGATGTTGGGGACTCTAACAGTTAAAGAAACCATAGCCTATTCAGCACATCTAAGGCTCCCAAATAACTTGACCAGAGAGGAAATAAATGACATTGTCAATGGAACAATCATGTCTATGGGTCTCCAAGACTGTGCTGATACTGTGATAGGAAACTGGCATTTGAGAGGTATCAGCGGTGGGGAGAAGAAGAGACTGAGCATAGCACTTGAGATCCTCACAATGCCACAAGTTTTGTTCCTTGATGAACCTACTAGTGGCCTTGACAGTGCCTCTGCTTTCTTTGTAATCCAAACTCTCAGGAGCATTGCCCAGGAAGGAAGGACAGTGATCTCTTCTATTCATCAGCCTAGCAGTGAAGTTTTTGCATTATTTGATGATCTTTTCTTGCTCTCTGGTGGTGAAACTGTTTATTTTGGAGAAGCAAAGATGGCATTAGAGGTATGGCAACAAACCTGAATTGATATAAACATTATGAAAGTTGAACAGGAGTGTGTAACCTTTGATATTGTTTCCATTGACCAAAGAGGATCCAACTTTTGGCATCTGCAGTTCTTTGCTGAAGCTGGATTTCCCTGCCCCAGAAGAAGGAATCCCTCTGATCACTTCCTGCGTTGTATTAATTCAGATTTCGACACTGTAACAGCAACATTGAAAGGTTCTCAAAGACTTCGGGTATGTATCCCTTTTAACAAAAGCTTTAGGCAGCTGTCAAGTAATGATTCTGCTGAAGCATGTTTCAGAAAGAGAACAGAATTCAAAAACACTAATATATATGGTTTAAGGATAATTTTCTGGCCAAGTCTGATTAAATCCATGTCCAAAGAGCCGAATGTAGAATCATGTGCTTCAGTTCTTCTAATTGGTGTATTGATTATTACAGGAAGACCCAACATCATCAGATCCTTTGGTGAATATGGCGACTGCACAGATCAAGGTAATGCTTGTCGAAAGGTACAGGCGCTCCAAGTATGCAAAAAGAGCAAAAGCTAGGATTGAAGAAATATCCAACATTGTACGTAACTTGAACTTAGTTTTCTTTCCTTGATGATCTTGAAGAGCTAAGCAGAGTATTCACATGAAAACCTTTGTATTGCAGGAAGGAGATATAGTGGAAACAGAGAGCCAGAGTAAAGCAACATGGTTGAAGCAGCTATCAACATTGACAAAGCGATCATTTGTTAACATGTGGAGAGATGTGGGATATTACTGGGCAAGGATAGTGATATACATAGTTGTGTCCATCTGTGTTGCTACCATATTCTTTGATGTTGGCCATGGCTATACCTCAATTCTTGCCAGGGTAGCTTGCGGTGCTTTCATAACAGGATTTATGACATTTATGTCTATTGGAGGCTTCCCATCCTTCATTGAAGAAATGAAGGTAAACTGAACCCAAGTCAAAGCAACATGACCTGGTAACATTTCAACTTCTAATTCCTGATTTCTCCTTTCTGCAACAGGTTTTCTACAAAGAAAGACTTAGCGGTTACTATGGAGTTGCTGTATACATTCTATCCAACTTCCTCTCTTCATTCCCCTTCTTGGCTGCTATTGCACTTGTCACTGGGACAATAACGTTCTTCATGGTAAAATTCAGAACAGGATTTTCGCATTATGCCTTCTTCTGTCTCAATATCTTTTTCAGCATTGCTGTTATAGAGAGTCTGATGATGGTTGTGGCTTCACTGGTTCCCAATTACTTGATGGGGATTGTAACTGGGGCTGGTATTATGGTAAGGGTCACTTTATCAGTTTCTTTTCTTACCTTAGCTCTGTTTACATCATCTTCTGCTACCACAGGTCCACAGTTTTGATTCTGGCTATTTCTGCAGGGAATCTTAATGATGACTTCTGGATTCTTTCGACTGCTGCCTGATCTCCCAAAACCATTCTGGCGATATCCTGTTTCGTATATTAGTTTTGGTGCTTGGGCACTTCAGGTATTTCTTTGGCTCTGATAATTTTTCATTGGAGTAGGATAACCTACAAAAGCAAAAGGAGAAAAATAATCATAATCAAAGCCGAAAAGACTATAATTCAATAGGTCATAACCTTAATTGACAGCAAGAATCAGGTAAAAGAAAAGCACCTAAAATCATTGCATTCATTCGTTTCAGCTTTCTATCAATTGAAATTCATTGCTGCCATACTGAAACTGTAGGGTGCCTACAAAAATGATTTCCTTGGTCTTGAATTTGAGCCTCTCTTTCCCGGAGGACCAAAACTATCAGGAGAGTACATTGTTTCAAAGATATTCGGGGTTACTGTATCTCGTTCCAAGTGGTGGGACTTATCTGCAGTGGTACTCATTCTTGTAAGTTACCGCCTTCTCTTCTTCATCGTCCTGAAATTCAAGGAAAGAGCTTCACCTTTGTTTAAGGTCATTTACGCAAAGAAGACTTTGCGGCATCTTCAGAAGAGGCCTTCTTTCGGGAAAATTCCTTCTTTTGCTTCTAAGAGGCACCAACCTCTCTATTCACTGTCCTCTCAAGAGGGCCTCAACTCTCCTCTGCACTAGAAGCACAAACAAAAACCATGTCATATTTTGAGTTTAAGCTATCAGATTGCTCTAATGTAGTTTCTGAGAGTTCTGTAATTCTTGCTTATAGAGAAACAGACATGAAAAATACATTCAAAAGTTAATGATGGATTTGTACGTACAAGGGATGTTTTCCTTTTTAGTCAAGATAATGAACATGATTTTGTGGTAAAAATACTACCATCAACTTGTTCATTTTTCTACAGATTATTCATGCTTCTCCTAGACATGCTTAATAAGCACCCGCTAACCTATAATTTGCACACACAAGTTCTAGAACCACAAAAAATATGCAAAACAATGCTTGGTGTATAAGGAAGATGTTGAAGAATTTTTAAAATAATTCTAAGATTTAGGTTCGAATCACAAAAAGTTGATTTAAAACAATTGCACAGAATGCATTTAAGAAATTATAATTTTAGTTTGAATCATATAAATATGATTTGAACAATTTACCAAAAATCAAAATTCGAAAAAGACAATTTTGGTTCGAATTACATTTATATGGTTCAAACTATTTACATCAGAAATAAAAAAGAATTCTGATAAGTTTCTCAAGGAAGAGTGAATAGCTTTGGAAGGTAAGGAAACACGTGAGTTGAAATTCAAATTAAACCAAATGACTTTTAGAAGAGTTTCCAACGAATAAATTTAACAAAAATTCAAATATTATTAGTTAATAAACTAAAAATAAGCATATGTTCTTGATAGACATTTTGCCCTTATAAATATAAAGTTATCTCTTCTTCTTCTTAGTCTTTTGAACCCAAAAACAAATCCTTACTATTATCTAAATAAAACAGTCCATTTTTGTATTGTGATTGCTGCATAAATCCTTATACAAAAACTATTGTTTTGTCATTTTTCAATGGACAATTCAGTGGTTGATCTTGCTAATGCAAAGGCAAGAACAACGAGGTACTTTATTGTATCCCATAAGCATTTCGGTTTATCCCTTTTATATATCAGATTTGATGGGGTGAAATTAACCTAATTAAAGAAAAGTAGCATTTGCAGCACGCTTCGGAGCTTTTTGCAAATTTTGGATCCTTTTTCTCCAACAGGAAGATGCATGAAATTCTAAAATAAGATTATTTCATTCGCTGATTGAAAAAAAAAAAAAAACCACAAGAAGAAGGATGAACATATGATTTGTATGGAAAATATGATTAAGAAAAAGAGCTTTCTTCCATTAGAAGAATAGGACCTCAAGCTGTCCATTCTGAGCTTTACTTAGAGAACTTGAATACGAAACCAATTGAATTGATCTGCATAATGCATGCTCAGAGTATCCACGAAAAAAACACCATCTGCAACATGTAATGTCAACATGTCATGTCATATTCATTAGCAATCACGGCATGGATATATATAAGACACGTGAATTGTGTGATGTGTACAATATATAAGTACACAATCCCATAGAAATAAGTCTCACAACCGAATGAACTGTGCCTTTAACCCAATTATTTAACCTCAAATCTTAAGTACTCGGGTGAGTTGGTCAAAATCTTCGAACCCTACCACCATCGTGAACTCTACCAAAAAACGGTTTGATAGCCACGCACCTCATTTAAGGTAGATGAAATGTTCATCCAGTCTGGAGATCAAATCTCAATTGCTAACTACTAATTTATACTAACTTCTTAATCATTACCTTATAAAAAAAAAAAAAATGTCTCACAACCAAACAATTGCTAAATAAGGCTCGACAAAGCTGTAGGTGCAAATTAAAAGCTGTTATCTACCTAAGAATACGGAGCTCGCCGAAAAGTAACATGAGAAAAATGTTCAAACACGGCAGGCTATGGTTGAATGCATGTAGATAGATGCATATTAAATATCAGCCCATCAGCTGGCTCAAATTCATTTAACAGGAACAGTTTACTCCTCGCTCTGCGTAGGAAAGAGACGTTACTTTTTAATAAAACATCCTTTTCCTGAAGACTTTAAAGACTGGACCAACCAGAAATTAAAACCATTCAGCTATCCTTCCTATGTTTTATGCTAGCTGCCTAAGGATTTTTTTTTCTTCTTCTTTCCATTCCCAGTTTATTCACCGTCTAGCTAATAGTAATATCTTGCATGTAAGGTAATTCAAGCATATACTGTCATTTGCAGAAAAAAGACCATCATCTATAATCAGTCTCAACTCCAAAGTCCAACCTTCACAGAGCATCACATGCAGGTATTGATGGTGCCATGGTGGTTTGGTGACCATAGTTAATACACGCACCATGTTAACCATCGGAACTATGTAAGGTGCTTTCTTATCATTTTATAGCAACCAAGATCACATGGCCCTCCATTTTTCTCTCTCACCATTCCCATCATTGAAATGTGTGTCCAACTTCAGAATTTGAATTCAGAAGTATGGAGGTATGGTTTGGCGTTCTTTGATCTTCACCCACCTTTTCCATTTATTTTCACCACCAATATTATCATGTAGAAGTATCATTACAAAAATTCATATAGCCATTCCTTCAACTTTACAGCTAGATCCTACAACTATGTACTAATACAAGTGTGGAAGAAAGAAGAGGAAGGGATTTATATGCATGTTTACTACAAGATATTTCTCCCATCGACTTAATTGTCTAATTAATGTTAGAAGAATATGTCAAATGCTTATGTATGAGTTCCTCGTTCGTTTAATTGTCTAAAGAGATTCGTGTTGTTTGGCTACCATATTATACAATATAGTAAAAAAAAAAAGTACCATTAACTTCTTTAGGAAAAGAGTCTAGAATATTATGATCTGAACGGCAAAACAAGACCTTCACATCGAAGAGAGCCTCCAATATTAAGGGACCTACTCCTCATCCATGGGTTTATGTTTTGCAATCTAGTGTAATTTGAATTACATTACATTGCACAACACCAATCATTGAATAAGAAATAGAGACAGGTCTCCAATCTCTAATATTGAGGGTCCTCCCCATTTGATGGTCCTTGGCCTTGTTTTGTGGTATGGACGGTAAAACAGGACTCATCTCTTTAAAAGGTTGGCTGGAGGCTTCCAGGCTGGTCATCAGAACTTTATTGCAGAGTGAATTATGTTCCAGCATTGTAGAATATACTATGGTAAAAAAAGGTGTAAATGCCGAACTTTCATAACATGTCCTTCACAAGAAAAGGAAAGGAATTTCAACCCGCAAGGCAGCATCCACTAAGGTCCTGTATTATATTTCTAGTAACAAAAGAAAGGAACCTAGATTTCCATCTCTTTTATAATGGTAAAAGAACTATCAAACCAAACAAGAAAAAGAAAAACGAAAAAAGAAAAAAAAAAAAGAGCTTATTACAATAAGGATCAAAGACAAAAGCATTTCCATTAACCTACCAACTTGAAATACAGTACCAAAGCAAAAATATTAACTGGACTGTAAAATGCCAAAACAAAATTATTAAAATGTCCGACTCCTGACGACATATTTTAAGTTATGTAGGTTGTAGTTTATGCTTTAACCACTTCACTTCTTAAGTTTAGTTGGCAGTTGGAGTTGGTAAGATGTGCAAAAGTTAATGCTATTTGATACTAGTAATTGATTTTCACCAGCTTTACAGCCCAACGCTGAGGAAGCTGATTTAAAAAGCTACAAAAATGAGGAAATCATGAATTCTTATGCAAATGCTGGGCCTCACCCCATCTCCATTGGATGTTTTTATTTTATTTTATTTTTTAAAAGATTAATTGCACTTGGGCTAATAAAAGCCTGAGTGCAAACTAGCATTCTCTAACGTCTTACTAGTAATTTTACTGTATGTGTGACAATAGAACCCCAAAATTGGGAAAATCACTTTCCAACGCAGAAGCAGTTTTGGTGATTATAATTATTGCTTAAGTAGATTTACTACTTGTGACCAACTGATATCATTCATTTCTCCTTTATATTTTGCTCTCTTCTATTTCTTCATCGCTAAGTTGGGCGACATACCGTTCCTAAACATTCACTGAAAGGTATAAAAAGTGCACCTGGTGCGTTTCTCTCTCCCACTGGGTAGCATTCTTCTTTGCTCCCATCTGAAAGATATTTCTTTGTTAGAATGGAGATAGAGGTGGCAAATAATGATGGCGGTGGCAATGATGGTGGAACCAACCTTGAGGCAGCTGCTTTCTCAAGAAGTGGAAATGAAGGAAGCATGTATTTGGTCTGGGAAGATCTGACTGTATTCCTGCCAAATTTTGGAAGTGGACCTACTAGAAGATTGATTGATGGACTCAATGGGTGTGCTGAACCTGGAAGGATCATGGCTATCATGGGTCCATCCGGGTCCGGGAAATCAACTCTTCTTGATGCATTAGCAGGTACGTAGTCTTCACTTACCCATAAAATAAAGACATAGAAACACTCGCAAGCATAGAGACATGCAATAGTTTGGTATAGTTGTACATGCAGTCTTATTCATCATGCACCTATACGATGAATAAAAAAACAAGTTGATTAACCACAACTTTCTTCCTCATCAGCAAAGGCCAATGTCTTTTCCTCTTTCCCCTAGCTCAGTTTTTCTCATTTTACAGGAAAGACCGGTTTCTCCCTTCTGGTAGTTGAGAAAGTAAAATGAGCTTCTCTTTTTGGGCAATCCTTGTTACACAAACAGCATAAACCTGCATTTCCTTAAAAATATATAGAAATTTGCAATGAGGTAAACTCTAGGAGAGCTGGGTTAGGATCCAAAAGGGAGCAACTTCATACCAGATAGTTTATTTTGCTTGGTAAAGGTGGAGGAATTAATACAAAACCAGACAAAATCTTCAGCAGTAATTTATTTGAATTCTGAAAATTAGTAAGGATCCTAGGCTAACAAGATCAGGAATTTAATGATCTTGCATGTTGGTTGAGTTTATTTAGTATGGCATTTACTGTCCTCCAGGTTTCAACGACACAGATTTCTAAAAACTTTTATACCCTGATGACCAGTTTCGCTGGGCAAATGCCAGTCTGCACTGGGTCATCATGGGCTTGAGTGACATTTTTATTTAAAATAAAATTCGTAGTTATAGTTTAAAAATATAATAAATATATTATTTTATAATTAATTTAAAAAATATATATTAAAATTTTTTTTTTTAAACGTTAAGAATAACTCGTAACCACATATGTTAAATTTAGTATAAAAAGTTTTTTTATAAAATTAAAGTGAATGGTAAAACATGCGTACATTCTCCAAATTGATTTTCATTTAACACTATTAATATGAGTAATTTTAATTTAGTAATTAATTAAAGGAATTTTACAACATATATTTTATGGGTACATTTTTATTAGTAATTTGTAAAAAAGACTAAAATTTAATTTTAATTTTATTACTTATTTAATTAAAATATTCTACATGATATTTGTATTGAAAATTAAGTTTATTTTTGTAATTTTTTATATAAATTAATGATAAAAAATATAATAAATATACCTTTAATATGTGCTTTAATGGTAAAATTTTAAAAAACTTTTAATTAAACCAAATTTAATATTTATATTTTTATATAAATTAATTATAAAATAATACAATAAATACATTTTTAATATATATATTTAAGGTATAAGTTAAAAACATAATAACACATTCAAAATAAAATAAAATAAAATAAAAGTGGAACCACTAAGGTCCTGAGTGCATACTAGCACTCATGGCAGAAAAGGATTTCTGCCCAAACTAAAAATTTTTTCCAAACAAAGGGAAGTATGGGATAGGGAAAAATACGAAGAGAGAACAAAGTAATAACGTGAGGGTTCTATTAATTTTAGATGAAATACGGTGACTTCCACCATCAATTATTTAATGTCCTCCATAAAGACAGAGCAGTTTTAGGTTTGATATAAACTAGAAGACAGACTGCATTAATTGTTAGATTAACATAAAAACACACAAAAAACATAGATATGAACCATCTCATGTAACAAAAAGGTATATAATAATATTTTTATATATAAGGTATTTATAATTTAGCCAACTGTCTTCATAAAAATAAATAAATAAATAACCAACCATCAGTGGTTGTTGTCGCATGACTTTTATTTAGTTTGACCTTCCTGCTGAACAAGAAGGAACAAAGAAGGCAATGCCAAAGCAGACCTATAATATATATATATATATACACACATACATACATACCCTAGCACGTAGGGATTGAGAATTGAATTTTAGACATGTAAGTAAGAGCACAAATAACTTTACTATTAGACCACATAATTGATGGTATATGTATCATATATTTACAGGAAGATGAGCCATATTGTCACCAACAAATGTAAATTGACCAATCACGCTTATGACTTAAGAAAGAGATATCTATTGGTGAAGTTTAACTGCAGAATTAATTACTTTGTCTAACCTACAACCATTTTTGAACAGCATTCATTGAATTCTAAAATTGACCAATCACACCGCAATCCTTACAATTGCCCACCTACCAGTTGATATCAAGAAAAGCATAATCATTTTCACTACCCAAGCCTTAGAGCATGGGAAGTTCAACTCTCACAGAAGAATTGAGTTAAGATTAAATTGTAGACAGAAAGTTAAATTGCACCGTGTGTTGATAATGCCTATGACCTTGTCTGTTTTTATTAAACAAGGCAGGAAGACTGCTAGGATTGCTCCACAAGACAGAGCTTATATGCTTTAGTTTGCATGTGTGCTATAGTACAATGTTGGAATATAAGGTAATTAGTTTAACATTTTGCAGGTCGACTTTCAGGAAATGTTGTCATGACTGGGAAAGTTCTTCTCAATGGGAAAAAGAAGAGGCTAGACTATGGTGGTGTTGTAAGTGACAAATACATATTGTTTCTGCATTGATTACACATTTATGCAATGACACATAGCAAGCTTGCCATTGGTTCTTACCTAAGATTTTTTGTTGTTATTTTCATGTGAATTTCAGGCTTATGTAACACAAGAGGACATATTGTTGGGAACTTTAACAGTAAGAGAAACCATATCATACTCGGCTCATTTGAGGCTCCCATCTACAATGACCAAAGAAGAGATCAATGGCATTGTAGAGGGAACAATCATGGAAATGGGTCTCCAAGATTGTGCTGATAGGTTAATTGGGAACTGGCACTTGAGGGGTATAAGCGGTGGGGAAAAGAAGAGAGTAAGCATAGCCCTTGAAATCCTCACAAGGCCCCAACTCTTGTTTCTCGATGAACCTACAAGTGGCCTAGACAGCGCTTCAGCATTTTCTGTGGTACAAACTCTTAGGAGTGTTGGCCATGATGGCAGAACAGTTATCTCTTCAATCCATCAACCAAGCAGTGAGGTCTTTGCACTTTTTGATGATCTATTCCTACTAGCTGGTGGTGAAGCAGTGTATTTTGGAGAGGCAAAAATAGCGGCAAAGGTATGGAAACAATGCATATTTTCCTACGAGGGTAAATAATTACGTATCTTCTTGTAGATTTTTATTGATAATGCACTGCAGTGCAATTAGCTTGTGGTAACTGAAAAATCAGAGGCACTCACACAATATTTCATTAACACTCATAATGTCATGAAAGATTGTGTGAATAATTTTTTTAATGACCAAGTGTCAATAGTATATGACACTCATAAAACTGAGAATATTTTCCAGAAAGATTGGTGCTGCAGGACATTAAATAATAATAATAATTTCCAACAGATCTTCTAGTAATGCAACTTACGGGGTTAATTTTGCAGTTCTTTGCTGAAGCAGGATTTCCATGTCCAACTCGAAGAAATCCTTCTGATCATTTTCTTCGCTGCGTTAATTCAGATTTTGACAATGTTGCAGAGACCTTGAAGGGAATGCATAGAATATCTGTATGTATGTGGTAGCATTACCTCCATTTTTTCTTCTCTATACCCTTTGCAATTGTATCTCTGCACCTTCTTGCAAGAGTTTAACATGCAAAACCAAACATGGAGCTTGGTATCAGTTTTCTTAAGCTCCTTGCATATTTCCATTATAAAGAGAGAGAAGCAGAAAGAATTACAAAAATATGATTTACACAAGTGCAGCAAAACCCTTACTTTACAAGTTCTTTCCATATGCTTTTCATTTTTCAGTCAAGTAAATCTCAGAAATGTCATAGGTCTGATAAGTAGTCTACAGTTTAACTTTCAAATGAATAATAAAATATTCAGTCACTTTCATTAATGTTTATGTCATTTATCGACTATAGGAATTTCAAAATACCTTGGATCCTTTGACAAACTTAACAACAGCTGAGATCAAAACGTTGCTTATCGAGAAGTACAAGTCATCAGAGTATGCTGCAAGGGCAAAAGCAAGAATTCAAGAAATTTCAACCATTGTAAGTGTTTCAATCTCAAGTTTTGTACTTCTATTGAACTTAATCTCCTCCCAACTCCTTGGATTTGTTAGACAGAGGTTCAGTTAAAAATGTGATCTTATACTGGCTAAATTATACCAATTTATCTATTTTTATTGTCATTAATACAAGGTAAACTTTTCCATGAAGTTTTCATTAGGTTTTATTTACTTTCATTTTAGGAAGGACCTGTGGTTGAAGAACAATATGGAAGCCAAGCAAAATGGTTGAAGCAACTCTCAACATTGACACACAGATCTTTTGTGAACATGTCTAGGGATGTAGGGTACTACTGGTTAAGGATAGCAATCTATGTGCTGTTATCTATTTGTGTTGGTACCATCTTTTTTGATGTTGGAACAAGATACAGTTCAATATTAGCACGAGGGGCATGTGGCGGTTTTATATCAGGTTTCATGACGTTTATGTCTATAGGAGGATTCCCATCCTTCATTGAAGAAATGAAGGTAAATAATCTCATTTTGTGGTTAAGAAAAGGTCAGCTAGACAAGCATGCCAGTACTGGTTTCTAAACTTTTCAGTCATTCATTTTTCCTCCTTTTTGTTGTTCCCTATAATAGGTTTTCTCTCGAGAAAGGCTCAATGGACAATATGGGATTGCTGTTTATGTTCTCTCAAATTTCTTCGCTTCATTCCCATTCTTGACAGTGATGTCTCTCTCTACAGCATCAATCACTTACTACATGGTGAAATTTAGGCCAGGAATTTCACATTTTATATATATCTCTCTTGATCTTACTGGCTGCATTGCAGTTGTAGAGAGCTGCATGATGATGATAGCTTCATTAGTTCCCAACTTCATGCTGGGATTGATAATTGGTGCTGGTTACATAGTAAGAACATTAACTTCAGAAATGATTTTTAGAACTTATTCTTTACAGTTATAAATATCTCAATCTTTTTATATATGTTTATAATCGTGTATACAGGCAGTTATGATGATGACAGCAGGGTACTTTCGCTTGATCCCGGAACTTCCAAAGATATTTTGGCGCTACCCTGTTTCCTACATCAACTTTGGAGCATGGGGGTTACAGGTAAATTTCATGAAAATGGGATCTCAAACAGGTTATTAGAAGCTGCATCTAAGATAAATTCAACAAAAGGGCAACTAGAATAATAGTTATGCTCCCAGGCTAGAGCAGAATGCAAGAATGCAATAATTAGCAACAAATCTTCTAAAAACTCTTGACTGATAAATCAAATAAATTAAGCTGATATTTTGTCCAATGAAATATGCAGGGAGCATACAAGAATGATATGGTGGGGCTTGAGTTCGATCCATTAGTACCTGGTGGACCCAAACTGAAAGGTGATCTGATCCTCACAACCATGCTTGGAATTAATCTGGATCATTCAAAGTGGTGGGATCTTGCAGCAATTACAATCATTCTGATAGTTTACAGACTTCTATTCTTTGTCATTCTCAAGTTCAGGGAAAGAGCATCACCTTTGTTTAGAACACTTTATGCCAGAAGAACTTTACACCATCTCAAAAAGAGGCCTTCTTTTAGGAAAATACCAGCTTTTCCTTCCAAGAGGCACCAAGTTCTCCATTCACTGTCTTCTCAAGAGGGTCTTAATTCTCCAATGCACTAGCTGAACTGAACCGGACCTGCAAGTTATAAGTGTTATAGTAATACTCAAGAGTCAAGACTCTGACTAGATCTCAGAAACAATGGGAAGGGAAAGGAAGATCATAGAATTACTTAGCTTTGTTATGAACTATTACAACCATCCTTTTCCTAGCCCCATCCTGCCCATGAATCTACGAAAGGGCTATTACAATGAAAGTGTTGACCTATCACAATTAAATATAGGCTTTTAAAAACACTAGCCAGTACCGGTGATAGGTTCGAGAGCAGGGAAAGCACGTGCATGTCAATATTATTATTTTAAAAAAAAGGGAAAAGAAGAAGAAGAAGAAGTTACCCTGAAATCTGAATCATGCAAAAACCATCCTACAAAGGATATTGTCATGATACAAAATAGAAGATTACAATGTTCTTTATAGAAGATTCTAAGATATGCATATTACTTATTGCAGATCCTTCCTACACAGGATATTGTCATAACATGTACTGAATATCATTATATGTAAAATCGTATTGGTGACTCAAGAAGCCAGCATCAACTACAAATTCACCTACCATGGAAAGTATAATGATCAATAGGTCCAATACGGCCAAAGGATGAGGCCAGGTAGCTTATAACAAAATTCACTCAGAAGCATACAGACCAACCTGACAATTATCGTTGTTTGGAACCCATTAGTTCCGCTGCCTCTGAAATACCATGCTACTTTCAACAAGTAGCCATCCAAAAGGAAGTCAAATAATATTTCCAGTTCATCAAAAGCTGCAGTTAGCCCGTTTAGGAGAATCCCTCTCCTTTCCTAACTGCATAAATTACAAATAAATGCAAAGAATTAGAGAAGCAAAAGCTGCAAGATGGCTACCATTTTACTTTATGAAGATCTGTATCTTTGCCACCCTGCCATAAGCATTCTGCACTATCCTAGGTCAGATAAGCAAAAAGTGCAATACTCCAGTCATCTTATGTAAAAATTGCAACCACAAAAATCTAGGTGCATTAGAAATTTTTCCCCCTAACCAGGCACTGAAAGAAAATTTTTTAATGGTATACAACACCACAATAAAAACCATAACATCTAAATATTATACTTTGGAGAAGAAAATGAAAAACTCAACAAAGAATTGCCGATGAAAAATGAAGAACTCCACAAAAGTATCCATGCAATCAGTGCAGGAGGAAGCAAAACACCTTAAAAGAATATTGTAGATGAATTTCATCAACTTTACCAAAGAATCGGATGGAAAAACCATTTCTCTCTCGCAGCTTTATGCTTCCATTAGAAAAAAAGTCAATTCTTCTTTTCCCTTTCAATGAAAAATCAAGTTTACAGGACTAACCAAACCATTTAGATGTCCTAACTAAAAAAGTTATTTATCAAAATTACAATGGAACAATACACTAGAATTCTCTCAAATCAGCGGATAAGTGAGGATGTTAATCAATGATTCAATGCCATAAGCTGGTCAATGCTTCTTCTCATCTGAGATACCATTCTCAACTCGGTTGTCAAACCCATGATAGGGAACTTCAATCATTGGCCTGGGCAGTGGACGTCCACCAAAATCCTCTGGAAAGCATTCAAAGTCAGGGCCAAAATTGAACTTCACCACACAGTTTGGTTGATTGGGAAGAGTATACATTGAAGCAGCAGGGTAGTAACGACCACCACACAAATCTTCGAAAGCAATACCTTGGCATACTCCATTTTTGTAGAAAGATATTTCGCTCCCTGAATGGCAAAAACACCATCTTCAGAACATGTAAATATTGATGCTTAGACCATACAACAAAGAAAACTCTTACTAAATGAATATCAATGCTCAGAAAATATTATGATATCTAATCCAAGAACAGAAGTCTAATATCAGGTCAAACAAACATTAAGTTAATCAATCATGAAACCACCTTATTAACTAAAAAGGCCAAAAGGTTAGTAGTTTGGACCATATCCAATACAACCATTAACATGCCAGATCCAGTATTACAATATTTAAGAAATATACATAGAAACAATGGAATAACTTCTTCCAAGAGGTAGGCCAAAGAAAAATTATTCCAAACCTTCAAAGAGTCCCTAACTGTAACAATGATCTGATAATGATGATGTGCAAATCAACACTAAGAGTTTTTTGTGGTTTTTTGTAATCAATTATATTAATTGAACACTAAATGTCAAAAACACCATCAACCAAAACATATAATCAGGTAAAAGAAATAGAAACAGCTCTAATATGCCTCAGTCAGTCAGTTGTTTGCCCACATATAGAGCAAATAATTCATCATCTCTCAAATATAACAGCTTCTAATCTATATTTAATTAGAACCACAAAAATCACATCCCCCTCCTAACATCAGCATCACTCCTTCATAAGTCCTAGCTTCATCAATCAAATCCTCTATTCAACATTAACAAATCAACAACTTCATTGATGGAGCAAAAACAGAACAACCTTTTAGCATCTAGAAAGTTTTAGAACAGGAGAATTGAGATCAAAACCTTTTAATTCTCAGCAGCTTATTAGCTAAACAGCCCAATGTTATCATCGTGAATCATTACAGTCATAGTCACAGATCAGTCCTAAACTCGCCTAGCACAAAAGAAGAACAGTCCTAAAATCCATAAACAGCATCATTCCCACCAGAAAAAATACTGAAATTACCTGAACCACAAACGATATACAAGACAAGGACTAAGATATTCTAGAGACACTATGTCAAATGCTATAAACACAGCAAAGCCAAGAAAGAGCAAGCATAACTGTTACACTTAAATAGCAACTTACAAAAGCACAAACTCTGAAATCCATACCAAATACTCTATAACCATAAAGAAAATAAATAAATAAATATCAAGAACAAAGACCGGAATTATAATTAAAACACCAATAGAAACTCACCAGGCACCACTTTAGGCGGATCTTCCTTTGCATCAGGGGCACAGGCATACCTCTGGCCCTTATACCAAACTAAATGGGGAGGCTTGGGTGCATACTGACCACCCTCTGGCAGGTTTATATAAAACCCAATAACATCGCCCTCCTTATATCCTTCCTCCCCATACTTTTCCCTTAAAGCCTTATGCACCTTACTACCATCAATGTCCCTGTAACCAAAACTGTTTACATCATATCCCACTGGTGCCTGCAAGTCTCCTTTCTCAGTAGACCACCCAAGTCGGGTGTGCCCGGTCTCTCCCAAATTCACCACCTTTATTTCGAAGTACCACGCCCCCTCCAGTACCCCCCTTGTTGCCCTCACCATTCTGTAACCCTTAGTGCTGCCTGCACTCATCCTGTCCTCAGTCAACTCCACTTTTTCAGCTTTATAAACCTTGGAAAGGCATATCTTCATATCAGGACTGTCATCACCCTTGTCCGGCAATCTTGGGGCAGGGGTGATTAAAACAGTGTCTTCCGCAGCCCCTGCATTCTGGTTATTGACCTTACTCTTCTTCTTCCCTTTGCGCGACGTTTTAGTCACCCAGACGTTATTGTTCTTCTTCTTGGACTTCTTGGTGCCTCCTGTTGTTGTTGGGGTAGATGTCTTCGCAGCTGCAATCGAATTTGTCGCAAGATTGCCAGTTTCTAGAGGTGTATTGTTCTCATCCGTGGCTGGGACTGAATTAGGTTCTTGTGCAGATGTCAGGGAGGAAAGTTGCTTCTGCTTTTTGGGAGGCGGTTCCTCTTCATCTTCGTCAAATTCGTCATCGTTTTGGGGCACTTTAACCGGATTTTGAGTGTCATCAGAGGCAGTGGTGGTGGGATCGTCCTCAGATAGAGAATCGGAGGGAGTGAGTTGGGGTTCAGATTTGCTGTCGTTCTGAAGCTCCGCACCGTTCGCTACCTGTTCAATGTCGTTATCCGCTTCCGCATCGCTCCTGGGCTCGGCTGAGGATAATGGCAAGGTTGGTGGCGACGGTGACGAAAGTCGCGGTGGATCGGTGGATGCCGCCGAGATAGGTGTCGATCTGGGGTTGCTTTCTTCGTCACTTCGAAGAGAATCCATGGAAGAAAAAGGAGAAAGCTTTGCTTTGTTCTGGTTCGGCCGTTTGGGATTTGTTGTAGAGGAGAAGAGAGAGAATTATAGTGAAGGTCGGAATTTGGGCCGATGAAGAAAAGGGTAAATGGATTAAGTAATTTGGGCTTATGAGTATTATTGGGCCCCTTCTTTTTATCGGGGGGGTGTGGGGAGTAATCGAGGTAAGCATTTTTGGTATATATCGGATATGAAGTATATTTGATATTTAATTTATAAATTTTTGGGTATAGTTTTATAAACTTAGTATTTACCCAAATATTTGAAGACTTATACTTATACTTAACTCAACAAGTATCAATAAACTTACAAATATATAATTATATACTTATTAAATAATATTTTATTTTATTTTTTTAATTAAAATTTAATAACATATTATTTGTTACAATCTAAACTTAAACATAATTTAAACTAATAATAGAAAACTAAAATTTAGTTTTATATACAGATCTTCAATTTATGTACTATTAAAAAATTTAAATTCAATTAAATAATTAATAATAAAGAATGAAAAATATGTATTAAAAAATAAAGAATGAAAATAAATTAAAAAA